TCCAGGTGACATGGCTGAGGACCTAGAGTTGGACTCTTGCGCTCAGAAGGAACATGTGGCAAGATCTCTCTCTCCACCTCACCCTCCACCCGGTGGGAGCCTCCAGCTTCACAGCACTGTCCTCTGTCTCTGTCGGCCCCTTCTTGTCTTTTCACTCAATACCAGCTTAGATTTCAGGGTCTAATATGTCAGCCTCTCTTGCTAGTCTCCTCCACTTACATGCCATGGTCTCAGCATTGCACACTCCAGGTGAACTCCAGCCTCGGACCTGGTGCCTGGCCTCTGTGTGCTGTGGAGTAAGACCCACCATTGTCCAGGCTGTGGTCTCTACCGGGCCTCCAGCCTCTCATGGGCTCTCATAGCTTCCGGCAATCGCGCCGTTTTCTTGGTTCCATCCCTCTCGCACTCTCCATCGCAGCTCCTTAAAATGGCCTGTGCCTCACGGACACAATAGTTACTGGTCAGGGCCTCCCTCAGTTTCCTGCTACAACACCCACAACTGTAACCTGTGTCCATTCTTCTCTCTCATCAAAATGGCTTTGTAAGCCCAATCCTCCACCTCGTGTCCTGGACCTCCCCTCCCCGCCTCCCGATCAGGGACTTTAAGAGCAGCTTCTTCTCTACCTTGTATCTTAAACCTCTTTCTATCCACCTTAACCCAGCACATCTCCCACCCTCCAGTCAGTCACAAAGACCTGTCAGTCCAGCCTCTGAACATCCGTGGAATCTGTTCTGTTTCATTCTGTCCCTCATCATCTTGCATCTTGACGATGGCACTAATCAACCAACCCATTTCCTTGCCTCCATTTGGCCCCTTCCGATGAAGTTTCTGTGCTGCAGGCAGGATGATTGTCCTAAAACACGTTCTGACCGGGCCATTCCTCTGCTGACAGCCCTTCACTGGTTTGCTCTTGGCCTTGAGAAACTGCCACATGCTAGGGAGCTGCGGAAGCCTGGGACTGGCCGAGGGCCCCTCCGTAGCACTCCTCGCCTCTTCCCAGCTACTGCTCCATGTTTCAGCCACACAAACCCTTAGTGGTTCCTCTTTTTAAAAAATATTTTTATTGATTTCAAGAGGAAGGGAGAGGGAGAGAGATAGAAATATCAATGATAAGAATCATTGATTGGCTGCCTCCTACATGCTCCCTACTGGGGATCGAGCCTGCAATTGGGCATGTGCCTTAATGGGGAATCAAACAGTGACCTTCTGGTTCATTACTCGATGCTCAACCACTGAGCCACACCAGCTGGGCCCTTTGTAGCTCCTTGAAGGAGCCAAGTTCCCTTGTCCCTAGGCCCTTCTGCTATTTCTTCTCTCTGGGGCACTCTTCCCACCCCTTAGGGCCAGCGGAGACATCACTTCTGGGGCTGTTTGGCCATTTCTTCTTCTTCTTTTTCTTGGAGAGCTCACCCTGGTTCCACACAGCAGCCAGTGCGTCCCAAATCCTACTCTCACTCCCCTGATTAAATTTGTTCCGTGTTTCTCAGAGTCCTGAGGACAAAGTCCAAATTCCACAGCTGGGCTGCCAAGGTCATTGCCCGGACAGGAGCAAGGAGGGGGGATTTGGTGGGAGCGATGTGAAGGCTTCCTTCCACAGGACTCTCATCTCGCCAGGTGGAAGGTCAAGCCACCTGCAGAGAGTGATGTTAGGTGACGCTGGGATGTGAAGGGAGTGGAGGTAAATTGAGGGTCACTGTGGGAACAGCTGACGAGGGAAACTGTAATTGATGAGTTACGTTGTGGACCCGACTGAGACTGGTGATGAGGAATTCACGGTGACGCCTGCTGCCTGGCTGTGCGGGTCTCTCTAATAACCACTCCCTGAGGGGCGGCAGGTGCAGTGAAGGCCAGTGTGTGGATTAGTCCATGGGGGAGGTTTCCTGAGAGAGTGGGACCAAAGGGGCAGGTGGCTAAGGAGTTGAGGACTCTGTCATGGAGTGGGTGAAATGACGGGTCAAAGAATCATCACCAGAAGGGAGAAAAGGCAGGAGGGGGAGGTAAGAGAGGAAGGGGCAGCTTTATATTTATTTTTTGTTAATCCTCACCCGAGGATATTCTTCCATTGAATTTTAGAGAGAGTGGAAGAAACGGAAAGAGGCAGAAGCATCGATGTGAGAGAGACACATTGATTAGTTGCCTCCAGCACCCGCCCCAACCTGGGGCCGGGAATTGATCCTGCATCAAATCTGGGACCCTTCCATCTGTGGGCTGACACTCTACCCACTGAACCAAACCTGCTAGGGCAGGAAGGGGAAGCTTTAGGCTCTAAAGCAGGAGTCCTCAAACTTTTTAAACAGGGGGCCAGTTCACTGTCCCTCAGACCGTTGGAGGGCCGGACTATAGTTTAAAAAAAAAACTATGAACAAATTCCTATGCACACTGCACATATCTTATTTTGAAGTAAAAAAAACAAAACGGGAACAAATACAATATTTGTATTTGCATGTGGCCTGCGGGCCGTAGTTTGAGGGCCCCTGCTCTAAAGTTTAGAGAGATAGCAGAGAGGCCGGTGGCCAGCTGGTTGTAATGTGGACCAAGATGGGGTTTTGTGAAGTGCTTTGAGCAAATAGGCTGGAGACGAGAGCCTGTGGGTGGGCTTAAGTGATTGAGGAAGCAGTAGCATTTCTGCCCTGCCTGTGCCTTGACCCAGCTCTTACCCTCCCAACTCAGGTTCTAGATGGGTATGCAGAGGTCTACTCCCACTGCTGTCTGAAGTAGGCCATCTGGGGGCACAAACTATATTCTTCATGCGGCCTCCTTTCCAGGAGAGCCTGGCACAGGCCTTGTCTGGAGTAGCTGCTCATCCAGACATCTGTGCCATGTAACCCTCCTCCTCCCCATTTTCTGGGCCTCTGTTTTCTGTTTTCCTTTAGTTTCTTAAAAGAAATATTACGGAAGAGTCTAGCCCTGTCTCAGCCAAAAAGAAACACGATTCCTCCCGGTGTTACAGGATGGAGAGGTGTCCTGTGGTCCTCGAATGGCCTAAGAGCTGGGATAATGCTTGCTCCCTCCTGGGAACCCAGGAAGAGCGAGAATTTCTGGGGCAGGCAGTGTGGGGCCTCAGAAGAGTCAGGGCCAGTAGTGGACAGCAGCCTAACTTCCCTGCCCTTCCCAATTATAGGTGGGTCTCTCCCTGATCCTTGCACACACATTGCCATCCAACAAAGCACCTACTAGGTGTCAGGCCTGTGCTGGGAACTAGGGACACACAGGTGAGAAGACCCAAACCCTGCCAGGAGGAGTTTACCACCCAATTAAGGAGACAGGTGCACAGAGAAAGAATTGCAGACTGGTGTCTACAGTTGAGTGTTTGGGCTAGAAAAGGGGCAGCTCTCTAGTTCAGGGGAGAGAGTCAGGGAAGACTCCCAGAGAATGTGGTGCCCTAGAGAAGTGAGTCTTGAAGAAGGACATGAAAGCAAGGAAAGAACATACAGAGGCTGGGAGAAGGGAGAGAGCACAGTGAGGCCCAGCAGTAGTCTAGTATGTCTGGTTCACGGGGTGATTCGAGGGGGGAGAGACCAGATCAGCTAAAGTCTGCACCTTAGCCTGCAAGAGGTGTGGCCATAGGAGGATCTCAAGGTAATTTGCATTTCTGTTTTAGCAGTCACTGGGGCTCCATGTGTACATATTGGAGTTGGAGAGGGGAAGTTGCATTTAAGAGGAGAAAAGAACAAAAGTAGGGAGAACAGTAGAGAGGCTGCTGCACAAATAGGCCGAGACGAAGAGGATTGTGGGAGATGAGTGTGGAGGTCTGATTATCACAAAGAACATCTACAAAGGAAGTCCACAGGAGCTGGTGTGTGTGCTGCACACGGGGTGAGGGAGAGAGAGGGTGCTGTCTGGGTCTGGCTGAGGGTTCTAACCTGGACCCTGGGTGAAAGGTGAGATGGAGGAGCTAGTTGAAGAGCGAGAAGAGGGGTTCCAAGTTGAATATATGGAGGGTCCGAGGTACCTCTGAAATATCTGCTGCTCCCGGACACGCCCTATTCCAGTGATGGCGAACCTTTTGAGCTTGGCGTGTCAGCATTTTGAAAAACCCTAACTTAACTCTGGTGCCGTGTCACATATAGAAATTTTTTGATATTTGCAACCATAGTAAAACAAAGACTTATATTTAATTTATATATTTAAATGCCATTTAACAAAGAAAAATCAACCAAAAAAATGAGTTCGCGTGTCACCTCTGACACGTGTGTCATAGGTTCGCCATCACTGCCTATTCCTTCTGCTCCCGCGGCTCTCTCCCTGGCTTGGCAACATCCTTGCCCTCATCCAGCAGCTCGGTGTTGTCTCCAGGAGACTGCCTTGATCTCGGCAGCTGGAAGCAATGTTCTCTTGTGGGAGCCCTTATAGGTCTACATTGAACACATCTGGTCCCGACCTCTCTGCTGGCTGAGGTGCTGCCTGTAACCTGCACCTTGTGAAGCAAGGAGGTGATGAAACGCTCTTCTGGTGAAACTTTGCCCTGGGCACCCAGGGAGTGGAGATTGATGACCACAGCCATGACTCCCGCACCAGAGACGGGAGATCCCTTCCAGGGTGGACCTCAAGCAGGAAGTGACTCTTAGCACCCAAGAGGGGTTCACACAGCCCTCCTGTGCCCCGGAACCCGGAGTCAGGCCAGCCCGTGCAGCGAGGACATGGACCAGGACCGGGATGTTCCGGTTGCAGAGGCGGGCAGGGAGCAGCAGCCTCCTGAGTCACCAGCTGACAAAACCCCAATACCCGAGGCTTCGTCGCGAACGAGCACGTGAGCTAATGGCAAGGACCCCCTGCCCTCTCTGGGGCCAGAAACCCACCATCTTCCCGAAGCTGAGCACCCCTCAGCCGCTCTCCCCTCGGCTTCACGGCAGCTGAGAGGAGGAACCACAGGCCTGACTGAGGACACCTGCAGGCGCTCTGGGCACGGAACAGGCACGAGTGTTCACTTCAGATGGGGTGGGTGTGAGAGCAGGGAAGGAAGGTCTCTAGGTGAGCTGGGTTGTAAAGACAGTGACAATAACAGCAGCCACCACTTTTAATGCACATCTGTAATGTACCCCGTCCTTCCATACTCGATCCTCAGAATTCATGACCACAACCATGACTCTCAAAAACTGAGGCTCAGAGACGCCAAGTCACTTGCCCAAGTTGCCCAGCTGGGAAGTGGTCGAGGAGGATTCCAACGCAGGCCTGTCACGCCCCGGAGCCCACTCCGCCAGCAGTGATTCTCCTCAATGAAGACTTGCTGGTGCGGTCTCCGGGGTGGGCAGCAGTCACTCCTGGGGAAGTCCCTGAGGAGTGCGAGAAGGCAGGATTGGCTTGGAGGGGTGTTGGGAATAGGAGCGAGCCCAGAATCTCCAGGGGCCCCAGATACTTCTCTGCCTGGAGACCCCAGTGCAGACAGGCAGCCTCTGACGGTTCCATGGACACAACACCCAGTTCCAAGAAGACACACACTCACCTTCCCGTAGGGCCGGACAGTCCTGGGGAGGTGCACACACACAGTCACACAAACACACACACTCACACGCCAGCACAGGTCCATGAGGCTGAGGCAGCTGTGGCAAGGGCTCCGGCTTGGTCAGATGAGGCTGGCGATGCTGGATGTGGTCTCATGACGCTGGCCAGCAGAGAGCCGTCCTGAGATGCTGAAGATGCTGCCGCTGCCACTGTGGTCACTGTGCATGGAGCGGGCAGCGCGCAGGGGAGGGCAGTGTCCACTCACGCCCACCTGATACAGCAGCAAGCCCAGTAGCAAGAGTGAGCCGGAGGCAGCCAGGGCGATGCCCACGGACAGCATGACGGCCAGTGGCCGGGCAGGGCGGCGGCCGGCGGCCAGCCCGGCCAGGGCCAGGCCGGTGACCAGCAGCACCAGGCCACTG